AGTGGGACACACTGTCTGCTCAGAGGACTGCACCCTCCCTTCCCATGGTGGGAAGTTTTCCACTTCTGCAGTCTCCCAATAAGATGAATACAGAGTAAGCCTTGCACCTCCCTGCTGTTCTCAGCTCTGCCAAATATCAGAACTTTCTAAAAGCATTTTTATCTACAGAACAGAAAAGAGCTTGGCACCAGTTCCACAGACAAAGATCTGGGATTACAGCTGACCAACCAGAGGGAGGCCTGGACTGGCCAGTTTGGACACTGCAGGCAGGGAAGGTTCACTAATCAGCTGGAGAGGTCTCAAGGAAGATGAAAGCCAACAGAGGTCTAGAAAACATGACCTAGGAGGAAAGACTAAGTCATATTAGAAAAAGTTTTCAAAGTTTTAGCTAATAAATCACCAAACTGTCCAACCCAGAAAGGCAGAATATTAACTACTGCAGAGAGCAATTAGCACTGACATCTACCAGGAGTGACACTACTACGCAGCATGTTCTCCCTAGGGCCTGGCATACAGGTCCTTTGTAGCCCTACATCCTCTCATTAGTGCCAAGTTTAAGGTTATTATGTGAAAATGAATGTTGACAAATTCCATTTCATGACAAAACTATGCAGTACCAAATCTTCCTGAAAGTTTACCAGCCCAAGATACAAAAGCTTCAATCACAAGTTACCTGGGTGATGGGTAGTGTCAGAAAAAGATAAATGTACCCTTTCCAGGCTTATTGCAAGCAAAGAACATTTTACACATAGCAAGGCACTCTGAGAAGGTTCCTCACAGCCCTACTCCCTGAACAGGACTCACAGTTATATATGCATATGCTCAGACCCTTGGTGGAATACAGCTTCAAAGCCTTCTCAAAAATCACTCAAGTGGATATATGAAAGCTGATTATCTTAACAGACCATCCCAAATTAAAAAAAAAATATAGCTTTACACTATCAGTAACATGAGCACTATTAGAGCACATACAGTTTGATGTCAGTGACTTAAGTCAGGACAGTTTGACACAAGGCAAGGAAAACCTAATTCTCTTGCCCTGGTGAAAACAAGCACAGTTCACCTATGGATGGAAAGCTAATGATTTAGCAACTGTTTTAAGAATGCAAATATTATTATGCCCTGAGGAATGGCAGCCACTCACTAGAATTATACTTCTGTATCTACCTTTCTTTAAAAAGCTGTTCAAATGCCCTTAAGCTGTCTGGAAGAGAACAGCACTCAGCTCCACATGCACAAGCCTGGACTGCATGCAGCGTTATTCTCAGCAGCTTATGTCATATGTTCAGATATTTGGCATTTATTCATGTACCCCCTACACACGGTTCCTGCCAAACAAACAGCGCCAGGACCACACTAGAGACATTCACAGTGGCTGGCCAGCCTCAAGAGACGTTCACAATTGTACCAAACACTGTAATTTCACGGTCGTGAATGTACTGAACAGAGGAGCCACACAAAGAATTAAAATGTGATGCTGTAATTTTCTAAACCAATACAAGCACTGTTGGCTCCCTCTGGTGCTAAATATACTGTAGTGTTACATACGAACCACCAGAGAAGTAAGGCAAGGATATAATCCAATTATTTTGTACAGTAGGTGACAGACATTCTAGTAATAAGTGTTACAGCAGCAGATTTCCTCCTGCAGGTAAAATCCGTAAGTCCTTATTCACAGCCTGTACCAATAGTGCTTATCTGGAGAATATAAGACACACACCTTGAAGAACTGATCCCATACACACACTGATAGTGACCCCATACACACACATACCAGGCTCCCTTCCTCATGCCACATTCTAGCTTCCTAAAAGTAGTTTCCACCTTGTTTTTTACAAGCAGACTTAAAAACCATCCTCAGGCTATAATTCATTAGATTGGCTGTGATTCCTACAGCAGTTTTAAAAAGCTAACCCAAACCCACTTTTAAAACCACCCATTTATGCTACTCTGTACATTTTAAATATGCATTTGCTATGCTGGACAGACAACACAACACAAATCTTTTTAACTAATCTATTATTAAATCTGCTGTTCAACAAAGTGTATACAATAAAAATCAAGTCACTTGTAGTCAGAGAAGCAAATGGCTGTTTGCGTTTTTTAAATATTCTATTCACAGCTTTGACCTTCCAGTGACACACCAAAGTACCCAAGAATGATGACTTGCATTGTAAGCATTATTCCTTGAATCGTTGCATCGTTTTTAACAACTATCTGAAACTTGCTTGCAGCTGTTCCAAACTGCTACATTTCTGATGCAAAGCAAGGATGTTTAAAAATCTAGTCCGGAAGGGCTGGATTTTTGTTGCTTTTATATCATTGAGTGGGAAGAAAGGAAGCAGGCAGCAGGTTTCTTTTTCCTTCCCTGGCACCTCCTCCCTTTCTCAACAAGATAAAGGTAGAAAAGTTTAAGGATACTGCCCCATACGGAGCTCCCTTTGCTTACTTATCAGCAGATTTAAGCACTGCCATGCAGAACAAGGTGTGTGGTTGGATTTTAATCTCCTCCACCTCCTGGATTAGCAGCACCCCACTGTAATTCCCAACAGAAGAGAGTTTAAGCTTAAAAAAAATGGTAATGTCCCTGTGGTTGAAAAGTGAGGATGGTGACAAGGGCAAGAGAAAGGTGTTCTTCGTATGCTTGTTTTCATCCAGCTGTTCCTTGTACCCGTCAGCAGCAAACAGCTGGGACTGGAGCATCATGTGGGCTGCTAACCTGCTCCAACAGCTTCCAGACAGCTTCTGTCTAGCCACAAATAAACAAGTCTTGTAGGCATCCTCCAGTTACCGGTTTGTAAATTCACCATGGGATATGGCTACACCTTTTAAAACTCCATGAAAACCACAGGTACGAAAGGGTCTTCTCGGCAAACAGCTACTACCAAACCTCAGTCAACGGAAGAATTCCTCCTCCGCTTCCTGAAAGCATAAATTCTATAATTTAACTACCACCATATTGAATCCTAATTAACCACACTTTAGCAAACTTGATATTTTTATTTTAAGTCACCATAAATTCAAATTCTGAAAAGAAGTTTATAAGCACAGTAAGACCAGGAGCTGGAAGACCTAGATTTACTCTCAAACATCATCTTGACTCTCAGTGCAAAGCCTGTGTCCCCAGATGTTAAATATGGGTAATATCAAATTTTCCCCTTCATTTACCTTGAAGAAAGGTAGTATTCACAGTTAACTTTTATTAATATCCATCTAGTAAATGTAACGCCATCACTTTATAATGGGGTTCTGTTTGTAGGATTTTGAGCAGCAGCAATGTACTGCTTTCTCCATGAGTGAAACCAAAATTATTTTGTCATAGAAAACACTATCTCCTGTTAAAATTAAAAATTATCTCTTTAAATATGAAACATTGTTTTATACTAATTTTAAATAATACAAATCATGTATTTCATGTGATTTTATTTAACTCTAAAATAGTAACTTCTAAGGCAAATGTTTTTCCTAAATGGAGACTCCATATTAAAAAAGAGCTTTTTCTGTGATGTATTACTATATAACATTATTATAATTTACAACATGATTAACTGTGACACCAAGTGTATTTAAAGGAAATGCCTGTAACATCACTAAGTGGTCTTCGTTTTGCTTCAGTAGCTTCTAGGGGGTATTCTGCCTTTTCAGAGAAATGAAAAGGAATCATCTCAACCAACTTCTGGTCAGAAATCCAGAAAGTACAATATTCATTATTGTTAAGTTACACAAATGTATTACTTGTACATAAAAAGAAGCAGCACACTGCTGGTGGATATCAAGAAATAGCTTTTCTTCCTCAACACGGACAGTATTGTGTAATGTTAGCAGGCAACTACGTTATAAGCTGTCACTTCAGAAACTTCACCATTGAATGTAAGCATCTTTCCAGTGTGAAAAGAATAATGTGAACTGCCTCTGTAGCTGCCACTGGATAACAAGCCTTCATACAGAGTGCAGAGGATTATATGCTCTGCAGAGACACCAAAGACTGCTGCTAGCCATCACGGGCAACATATTTCCAAATGCTGCTCACAGCTTGGGCCCCGAGAGGTGAGCTGCAGGTTATACAGCATTAATATTGATACAGCAAGCCTGAAAAAAACCACTGTAATTTAGATAGCCTTTAAGCAGCTGATCAAAAGGCTCTGACGGGGGAGATCGAAGCAACAGTTAAAGGATATTTCCATTTTAACTGCTCATCTGCTTGGAAGATCACCACCTCTCCAAGAGGGCTGGCAGAGTGCGATGGCGTGCCCATGCCACAGGTCCTGCAGCTTGTACCTTTGTGTACCATCTTCAGCTGCAGAGGCAGATAAACGCACACTAAACGCCCCATCGAATTGAGTAAGCTGATGCCAAGCATCATCGCTACATTGCCAGCAGAGTTACTGAACAGATTACTAGGGGACAGAAACACCTTAAACTGCTGCATTTCCTTGCTCTGTCACAATAGAGGAAGGAAAAGATCTTGCACAAACATAATCCTCCCGATCCCAAAGTAAATTATGCCCAAAATGTCCACCCATTAAAAGAAAGGAACCGGTACATGAAGTATAAAACATTCATAATGAATGCCTGACATTCCTGTGATCAACACACACCTGCTTTACACAGCTCTCCTCATGCTGTAGAGCAAACTATCAATAAGAGGACGCAACTATTTCAAGATCAACCACTCTTCCCTCAGCCACAAGCCAAGACTTTATTATTGAAACACAGACTGAGCCAAATGACACTTATGTCAAATATATAAGCACCCTTCTTAAATGTCCTACAAGCAAACTCAAGCCCTTTATTAAAAGCACATTTTCTGGGTTAAGGCCTCATTTTATCCAAACATCAAGAATTCCTACAAGGATTAGCTCTCACGTATTTTTGTACAAATACATGGACCGGAACCTAACAACTTTACTGAGTAAGCACCTCTCCTGCAAGTCAGTTTCTACATCATAGCTTTTACATCATCTAATCAGTGCAGCAGGAGCTCTGAGCAGGTTACTCACCGATCAATCACAATCTCCTTCTGTCTTAGCAGACCCTCTTTAATTTTCATTAGAGATTCCCAGTTGCTGAAGTCCTGATAGCTGGTAGCTGGGTAACTCTGACGAGATGTTCCACTTGGAACCTGCATAAAATAATTGTAAAATTAGCCTCCTAAACAACAGAGGTAAATAATATCCTAGATACCTATCTGGGCATTTAGATGCGGCATTTAGATTCTGACACAACAAGCGGTTTGTTGTTTCAGAAACCTGACAACTGTTTTTCAGTTTAATTCAGATTTGCTTTATGTAAAACAATCTTATTTATAAAAAAGTTTCTTGAAACAAACTTCAGCCCAGTGCCAGTGATTTAAACATTTTTTTTTTTTTTTGTAATCATTTTACATAGTTACAACAAACATCACAAAAATGTTCAGATCCTGCTGCAGTTCTTGTAAGCACTGCAAACAAGTTGGCTTGATAGCTTTAGACCTGCTGGTAGCTGCAGACAGCTGTTAACGTTCACTTGCTTGACTCCCACCTGTAACTTTAGCATATAGAAAAAAAGAAATTCCCCTTGATGTGTGTACATTTAAAGTACAGAATATGGGAATACAGTTCTGGTTAAATTCTGTTTCCAACAATAAACGTTTCACAAGTAACAGGTTTCAGGCTTTCCGTTCATCTTCACAAAAGCCAGGCTATGTGCCTTACAACGGATGGAGGACTACAGTTGAACTTAATATGAACCAACAACATTATGGTTCGGAAGAAAAGTAAACAACTAACTAGGACGTTTTATCCAGAAAATTTTTATACTCAAACATAAAAAGTCTTACAAATATTTGTATCAGGAATCCACATAAGGGAAAGTTTTAGTTTGACCTTTCGTGATCAGAATGAGGGATCCCAGCATTAGCTACCACGAAGTATCACCATCCTCCACCAGTTTTTTTAATCCTGAAGAAAAGATTTATCTTTTTATTCTCTGGGAGGCACCCTGGCCTATCTTGCCTTTTTAAGTTTTTGGGAGAAAACAGAAGGAAAAAGGTGAAAAATAAAATATCCCTTTCTTATTATTTTAAATAGATTTTAGGCTGTTTGTACTTGTACTGCTCTAAAATGTTTTAAATTTAATTTGAAATTACAATAAACTGTATTAAGACCAAGACATATCATCAGCAATTAAGGTAAACAACTGTCAAGCAGCCCATGCTTCTTCCTGTGAATTTTAATACTGAATGGAGAGAATTCATTGCATAAAAGCCCCAAACCATAATGTGCTGGTCAGGAACCACTACTAAAATGGACCAAAACACATTTTCCATCTTTTCATCATAACTTAGAATCAGAGACAAAATGACATGACTTGCTAGTTTTAAAATCTTTCAAGACTGTCACACACACACTCCTCTTCCCCTAATCTTGGGATAAACAGTGCATTTGAGGAAAAGTAAAATAATATTAAAGGGAAATTTTATCTTTAAGTGGTTCACTGATTTATAAAATCATAGAATGGTTTGGGTTGGAAGGGACCTTAAGATCATCTAGTTCCAATCCCCCTGCCACGGGCAGGGACACCTCACACTAAACTATGGCACCCAAGGCTCTGCCCAACCTGGCCTTGAACACCACCAGGGACGGAGCATTCACAACTTCCCTGGGCAACCCATTCCAGTGCCTCACCATCCTTAGAGTAAAGAACTTCTTCCTTATATCCAATCTAAACTTCCCCTCTTTAAGTTTGAACACATTGCCCCTTGTCCTGTCGCTACAGTCCCTAATGAAGAGTCCCTCCCCAGCATCCCTATAGGCCCCCTTCAGATACTGGAAGGCTGCTATGAGGTCTCCATGCAGCTTTCTCTTCTCCATGCTGAACAGCCCCAACTTTCTCAGCCTATCTTCAAATGGGAGGTGCTCCAGTCTCCTGGAGATCATCCTCGTGTCCCTCCTCTGGACTTGTTCCAACAGTTCCATGTCCTTCTTATGCTGAGGACACCAGAACTGCACACAATACTCCAGGTGAGGTCCCATGAGTGCAGAGCAGAGGGGCAGGATCACCTCCTTCGACCTGCTGGTCACGTTTCTTTTGATGCAGCCCAGGATACGGTTGGCTTTCTGGGCTGCAAGCACAGGCTGCTGGCTCACATGACTACGGTTAATATTCCTTGTTCCATACTCATTCATAATTACATCCCCCAAGCAATAAGACTAACAGAAAGCATTTGAAAATTCTCTCAAATATGGTGCCTAAAGAAAAGCACCTATAGAACTGCTTACTGCAAGCACATTCTAGGTTTGAAAGTTTTGTGGGAATAAAATTTGTAGCATCTGCAATGTCTGGTAAGTCAGTTCATTAAACTCATGGTTGTTCAAGGAAGTTATGTTAAAGATGGCACTGTGCTCTACTAGGAGGCAAGGAATAGCGAAGCTAAGTGCTGCCTGGATTAAGATCTACTCGTTTGTGATGGAGGTAACAGCTGTCTTGCTTCATCTTTCATGCACAGTGACCAATATTACCATTAAAAAAATCATAATTCGGTGGCATCACCTTAGCTCCTTTTTGTTTGGGCAACTGTCTAATAAGACTTAGGAAAGATACCAAGTCATGACTCTTCCTGTAAGTAAGACCTGTGTGGAGTCTTTAAGGATCAATTAATCTAAATTTAACCTTGCCTGGGTCACTCAATCCAGACCAGATAAACTTCAAAGTTGTGTCTGGTGCTTACAGAATACTTTAGGATAGTCACATATTTTTTTTGTATTACAGTTATCCACATGACTGGCTGAATTAATAGACACCAGCTCAAAACTATTTCAGTGAAAGCCTCTTAGTCACAGATGCCATGTCATGCAATATAAAGTGACAACATCAGGAACTATCACTGTACACTATGTCATGATTTTTTTTCCTTTGCTTCTCCCACTACAGTGCTGAAGAATGCTTTTCTATATCCCCCTCAACAGCATTACACCACAGCCAAAAAAAAAAAAGATAAACAGTCCTTAATGCAGTTGTGATTAGATAAGTTTCAGAGCCAGAAATTCCATCTCTACCCAAAAGAAACATCCCACAAGAGTCTGACATGATAAACGAGAAATATATGGCTTTATAAAGCAAATCAACCCTTTTAGGGTGAATTTTGTCTTTAAACTACAGAAACGAAGAGATTAAACACAACTATTTAAGTATGAACCCATCTTAACTGGAATTCTAGAAGTTACCAGTGGTTCTCTAGCAAAATTCTTCAAAGGAAGCCCCTTACTTCAATCTAGCACCTTTGCAAACTTAATAGTTTGCCCTAAAATTAGAAAGAAACTCTTCAACTTTGGTACAATAAGTGCTTATACAAGAAGCCAATTAAACATTAAAGCTGCTGAAAACCAAGGCAAGAAGTTTTGCAAATTTAAGAACAGACTAGTATTTTGTCCATTAAATGCTACTAGTGGTGTTGGTTTGGTTTTTAACTTATTATAGAAGGCCTCCTTAGCTGATTGAGGTGCTTTTGGCTTTGGAATATAGCTAACCTTATGGAGTATATACATATGTAACAACAAATAGAATATTTTGTATTATAACTGTGTGCTTCACTTTGTCACTCTGAACAGATGAAAACAAGAACAAAAAAAATTGTTTCTGATATCATGTTTCAGCCAATTAAATAAAAAAAAAAAAAGCTAAAATTACTTCTTAGCACTTCCAAGAATTACAAGACACTTGACTCATTTATGAGCACGTGGTGTTGACTACTCCAAACAGCTTTCTAACTGCTTTGAATGGTGTGGCAACATACAAGTGGTCCATTTACACTCAAGTATTTTCTCTCCCAAGTACACAAACCAAATAATGAGAGCAAGCTACACTTTTAGGACTAATATACAGAAAGCCATACACAACTTAAAGTCCTCAACTTGAATTCTCCACAGCTACAAAGCAAAATACCAGCCTGAAAACAGCACTCTTTTCCATCTGCCCTATAAAATACAACTATTTTTGTCACCTGGCACCTTTTCCAAGAGTTATCAGCCTACTGTTCAGTTAAAACAGTATCCTTTGCACAGTGGCGTCCAAAGGTCCACACTAGCTCGTTTTTTGACGAGGGCTTGGCCTTGACTTTCACAACCTGGCAAGCCTTCAAGTCACTGCTGAGGCACAGCTAGCTGCTGGGGGAAAAAATATATTAAGAAAATCTTTCCTATGTTAGCCTATATGCAAATATTTATTACCAGAACACATATTACTGACTGATTCCATCATGTTTCTTAACAGTGGGAAAATAATTTGTCTCTGGACAATGACATTTGAATAAGTTAGGCCAATCATGGCTGCGGCTTTACTTGTGCTAATCAAAATAATCTCCTCCAAACATGCTTGTCGTTTCAGCCTAAAGCAGTTCAGTGTCTCAGCACAGAGTAGCACAGCACTCCCTGTAGCGTGCTGTATTACGAAGTAAAGGTGTAGTCCAAAAATGACAAAGTAAGAGCTAATCTCACAGAATCGTGGAATTATAGAATCACAGAATGGTTGAGACTGGAAGGGACCTTAAAGCTCATCTAGCTCCAAGCCTCCTGCCATGGGCAGAAACACCTTCCACTAGACCAGGTTGCTCAAAAGCAGCAATGGATTTTAACGTTTTTTTTTCCTTGAAAGTTGCAGTTTAAATAATTTAGCACTATCTCTACTACAGCTGTAAAGTTTTCACAGCCCATTACTAACAGCGAGGAGAGCAACAAAAGTTACGCAAAGTAAATGATCCCTTTCGGCCAACTGCCTGTGCTGCCCTGCTATCATTAACCCCCCTCTGCAGGTATCATTCCTCTCTCTCTCTGCATTTTACAGGCATTCAGTATTCAGGAGAGAGAGAGTTCCTTAGCAGCAGCTAATCCAAAGCAAAAAAATTGCACAACCAACGTCAGCAAGAGAACAAAGGGTTCCTTTTATTCATCTGACAGTGGAGGAAAGGAATAGGAGTGTTTGTATAGAAGTGTCTTCACAGGTTGTGCCTCAGGGACACAGCACTTGCCCTACCACCTCACTGAGCAATGAGGGAGAAAGAAGAGGTGGATGTGGCATCAGCAAGCCCAAATGGAGTATTATCACAGAGAAGCCTCTTGCTCTTTGCTTCCCTGTGATGGGAAAAGG